CTTGTACTTGATCTGATAATAACAACGCTGTGGACAATACTGCTGTTTTCAAAGCTGGAGATTCTATAAATAATAAATTCTATAAATTCATGAAAATGTTGAGGGCAAGGTAGTTGGGGAATGTAGGTCAAAGCCCAAGGGGTAGACTGTGACCATGAACAATTTAGTTGTGTTGATCCAAACACAAATGCCCAGTAGGGTAAACTGAGTTTTGGATGAGGTCTGAATGGATACATTTAGGAATCATAAAACTAAATGATAGGCTTGGCAATACTGACAGCAAGTAAGGACACCCAGAAGGGAGCTTGTAGAAGTGGAGAAGAGTGGCTATGACCTATTCTTGAAAATTCCCATCATTGTGGGCTGGGGATTTAGCTCAGTGGTTTCACTGCCTGCTGCGCAAGCACAAGGACCCAAGTTCAATCCCCAGTACCAAAAAAACAACAACAACCCCCCCCCATCATTGAGAGGTTGTGTGGAAAAGGAGCACCCTGAAGAATAAACTGAGGAGAGCTAGTTAGTGTGGTAGGAACAGACTAAGAGAAAGATCACTAATGGACCCAAGGGAAGAGAATGTTTCAAGGAGGAGGGGAGAACAAGTCTATCAAATACAAGTACTTCTCAATTTGCAATAGGGTTATGGCCAGATAAACCTATTCTAAGTTAACAATATCATAAGTCAGGAATGCATATAGTCTGCCTAGCCTACTGACTATAACAACACAACACAATGTAGAGCATCCATTTGCCCTCATGATTACATGGCTGCCCGGGAGTTGCAGCTCTCTGCAGCCACTGTCCCGCATAGGGAAAGACAGCACCATACTGCGCATCTATATCCTGGGAAAAGATAAAAATTGGACGTAGTTTCTAGTGACTGTGTACATCACTTCCACACCATTGTAAAGTTCCACAAATAGTAAGTCAAACCATTGTAAGTCAGGGACCATCTGTAGCTCTGAGAGCTGAAAGATGACCAAGGACAGAGCACTCTCCACTTGTTCCAAGCAAATAGAACAAGACCTCCAGAAATAGAGGTGAGTTCTAAAGGAGCTAACACTTCCTTGGGGGTGAAGGTGAAATTTATATAGAAGCCCAGGTTAGTTTTGTTCCAAGCTCAGGCTAAGGTGGCGTCCACCAGACCCCTCCCCGGGAGCCGGCTCTGTGGCATCTCCTGCCCAGGGTGCCCTCCTGCAGGGCCTTGTTCTCTGGGCACTCACCTCCCTGAGGCTCAAGGAAGGCCCTGTTAGAATTACTGCTGTCCCCAGTCTCAGACCTTCCCAAGGGACATGGTCCTGGGTGCTTTGGGGAAAAATGTGACTTAGCTAACAAGAGAGGAGCAGATGACGAAGACTCACATGATATTGGGTATTCACCTGTCTCTTAGCCTGTGTTTGAGCTCTGTGGTTTCCAGAGTGAGGCAATGAAGCTAAAATAATTATTTTTATTAGACAGTCACCCAGAGCATGAGCAGTATTTCAGAGGAGTTCAGAGTAAAACAATATAAATTTGAAGAGAGAAGTGTGACCCTGACTCTGCCTAAATTCAGCGCCCCCTAACCACATTATTGCAATTGGTGAGTGGTATATACTTAAATACCATATATATCATATATGTTATACAGCCATATATTTAAAGGTGATGTAAGTGAAATCAGTGTGTATAAAAACCTTTTTTGTGTCCAATTTGTTTAATATAATGAAATTCATCCATGTATAATGGAGGATTGGAGAGTAGGATTCTCACTTTATGACTAACCCACAATGCACCCATTCTCCTGTTAATGGACATTTGAGTTGTTCTTGATTTGGGGGTTACCATGTTATACTTGATCTTAGCCAAAAGACCAAGAAGCCATTAGTTTGGGGTTATTATGAACAAAGCTGTTCTGAACCTTTTTGTATGTATGTTTTGGTAGATCCATTATATTTTTTGAGTTGGCTTTTTGCTGACACATATTAAATCTATTGATTTTGATATGCTTAGAATTTGGCTATCTTACTGAATTCTAATAGATTTTTCAGTTCATTTTCTTGGAACATACTTACATCAGATAGAAAGCTTTTAGTTTCAAGTAACAGAAAAACTAACCCAAATTGGATAAAGGCCCAAAGAATATATATTTGCCCCTATAACTGCAGAGTTCATCATGGGTCTAGCTTCAGCAAAATGTGATCCAGAGTGCAGGATATCATCTGGACCCATCTCCATTCTCTACGTTTCTCTTGGTTTTACCATCCTTTGTGTGCTTTCTTTGTCCTCTTCTTCACAGGAGCAACAGTTGCTACAACAGTTTCCCTTCATATATGCAACAGTTGCTCCAGCAATTCCAGAACTCATGTCCTCACCACACCATCCGGAAGAAAGGCACATTCTCAGGGACACGAATGAAGACCAAAGAAGACTTTTCCTCAAGTCTCTAGTCAATACTGCCTCAAATTTCATTGGTTCAAATTGGGTGATATGCCAATGTTTGAGCCAATTAAATAGTGTGGTTGATAGGATAGTCTTCTCTAATGGGATTAACTTAAGCAAGGGACCATCTTTGTTCTGAATAGAGAGGGGGTTCTCACCAAACCACATGGCTGTCAGGGGTGAGATCCTGAAAGGAACTATAGAAAGCTTTTGGTTGAGGAAGGAAAGTGATGCTGGAAAAGCAACCTCAAAATGTCTATTTTTATAGAAACTAGAATAACATTGCCTGTAGGGATTATTTATTGTCTCATCTTAACATAATATTTTTCAGCTCTGTCTCTTGACTCACATGTTGGCCAGAGTATAGGGTCTTTCAACTTACACAAAATGATGAAAATGGTTTTAAGCTTTTTGAAAAGGTTTGGGAAGGATGTTTATAAAAACACAGAGGAGGTGGGAAGTCATAAGAAGTGAATGCACCCTAATATTTTACATGTAATGTGAAGATGTTCAACACCAACCTCATGTTGTGGTTCTATACAGGAAAGGATCAAACCAAGAGGTGGTTGAGATGGGCTTGGCAATGTGGGAAGATAAACTATTCTTTTGCTGTATAAAAAATCACCAAATTTTTGTCTTAAGCCAACTTAGTTTTATTACCTCACAGTTTTTGTAGATCAGAGGTCTAAACACAGTTTAGCTTAGTTCTCTACTCAAGCTTGAAATCAAAGTGATGACTGGACTGCATTTTTGTCTGGTACTCAGATATTTTTCCAGGCTTATTGAAGTTGCTGGGAGAATTCAGTTTCTTGTGGTTATAGCCTGAAGTCTGGTTTTCTTATTGGCTGTCAGCTGGAGGTTGCCCCTCAGGTATCTGCTGCAAGACCCTATCACAACATGTCAGTTTAACTCTTCAAGGTCAGTGGAGAATGTTTTCCCAATCTGCTATGACAAAGTTTTACATAGCATATGGAATTGTGGGAGGACTGTATTCTACGTATGTTTTTACTTTCCCATTCTTTGATACAGGAGGTAGGAAAAAAATAAGAATGATAGAACATCCTTCCCTACCCTTAAGTCTGCATTTGAGTTTGCCTGCACAATTTTCTTATTTAAGAAAGTCAGAGACTCTCTTTTTTGTTATTTAACCAAGGAAACTGTGAAGAGAGTATCTGGAAAGGAGTTCTAAGGGTCAAGGAAAGGGGGAGTTGTGTATGGGCTGGAGACCTGGACCTCTTTTACTATAGGGAATAGCACATGGTAGATGTTCAGTACACCATGGTGGTTTCCCCATCCCTTCATCTTGAGCAACGATGAATCAATGACATGCCTCATGAACTTTAAAGAACATTTTTTATAGAAGAATTCTTACTCTAGTCAATGTTCTTGACATTGCCTCTAGGAAAAGTTGGTGGGAATTTTCAGTGACAGTTGTTAATTTAAGCTACCATGGGAATTAAGAGTGCTCATGGTTAGAATATTCCTTCCTTTTAGCTATGTGAATTTGGACAAATGACCCAGCATCTCTGACCTTTAATTTCCTTGTCAGGGGAATGGAAATAGTAGCATGCAGGTAAAGTATATAAAGTGCTTTCTCTAGTTCTGGTGCATAACAAATGGTTTAAAAATATGAAATCTTTTAACTGACTCAACTTTCCAAGGAAACTTATTAAATTGGAATTATGTTTATGATTATTGTCCATATTTTCAAGTAAGACCCAACACTCAGACAGTTTCAGTGTTTCTCATGGTACTGCAATATTTAGTGATAGCTATTGATTATCTGTCAGGCTTCTTTTTCTTCCACTCTGACTGCACAGTAGGATGGAGTTCCATAAATGTCTTGTCAAGTTGACAGCATATCTTAGGAAGAGATTAACCACCTCTGCAAAAAAATAGTTAAGCTTCAGATTGAACACACTTTGATATTTTTACAGAAATCAAATCAAATTGGAATTAAGAATGTGTGCAAAGGTTCAGCTACAGGATGTTCTTCATAACTTGTTTATATAACCCAAACCGTGGAAGTGACCTAAATGTTCAACAGTTAAAATTCAGTTGTTGTGCATACATACAGTGAAATATTATGCGATATCCAAAAGCAAAATGAAGGGCTTGGGATATAGTTCACTGTTAGAAAGCTTGCCTAGTATGTGCTTGGTCCTAGTCTCCTCCCCCAGCACAAAAACAGCAATAACAAAAAAAGGCAAAATGAATTCATACACTGCTCTACATTGGAAAAAGTGTAGTGTTGTATGATAAAAGCAGACTAGAAACTACACCATGAAGGAAGAGTCCATTTCATAAAAATAGAATATATGTTGTTATATATTGTAGATATGTAATATACACCTATGCATATAAAAGCATTTGGAAAGGTATAATCAAAATTATCTGTGTTTGTCTCTCTTGGAAATGGGTTAATTTGAATTTTCTTTTCACTTTTCACTTGTGTGTGCTTGGAAGGTGGCTTCATTTTCTGACCCTTATGTGGTAGATAATAAATTCTAGTTATTAGAAAAAGGAAAAGAAAAAGAGAGATAGTTCAAGTCTCCATGTGTACTGACACTAGTTGAACTTTTCAGGTGATTGTGAAGACAAGAACAGAGTACCAGCCAGAACAGAAGAACAAAGGGAAGTTCCGGGTGCCAAAGATCGCGGAATTTACGGTCAGTTTCTTGCTGGTGTAGGAGAGAGTAAAGGTAAGGCTGGCAGCAGCCAGCTCAGCACCCTGGTGTTGAGAAAGCAGGTGCCACTGTGGATTGGAAAGATGACCCAGGCTGCTTCTGGAGGGTTTCTTGAAGCCACACTGTCTGTCACTAAGTTTAATCAAATGACAAGAACTCTACACATGTACTCTTATACTGATGTTCTGATAAATGCCTCTTATATTCTTTGGTGTTTTCCTGTCTCCTTCTTCCTACTTTCTCATTACTATCTTCTGAAAATATGATGGAAATACATAAAAAACCTCAAAACTTTGTCAGTGGATGTGGTTGCAACAAATACAAAAAAGACAAAGGGAAAGCAAAGCTGACTTGATAAACCTCATGGTTGAGTTTTTATTTCTTGGTGAAAGAATCTGAAGCACTGACAAATAAGTACCACTGGCTGTGATGAGTTGCATGACAGAGCCATGAAGTAAGCTTACAAAGGTGAAAAAGAGATCATTTAGGGGTTAAGACACAGGAAGAGGCAGTGAATTTAAGTAGGTACAAGGGTGCTAGTGGCTGACAAGAACATAACTTGTGCAGAGGCCCTGAGGTTGTAAAGATGGTAGCCCCAATAGAAATAAGGATAATGAGACGGAACTCTAGGAGATGGTTGGGGAGTAGCAGAGATAAGACAGGGGAAGTAGGCAGAATGCAGGCTGTTCCAGCCCTTGTAGGCTGCTAAAAGCAATAGGAAGACACTGAAGGACTTTAAGAAGGGGAGGGACATGACTGAAATAGGGTTCTTCAGAAAGCATACTGTCTTTTACATGGCTTAGTGGGTGTAGTAGGCAAGAGGAAAGGTGGGGAGATTACTAGGTACAATAATCATCCAAGTGAAAAATCAGTAGTGACTCAGACAAGGATGGTGAGTAGACAGAGAAATGGATTCAGACCTACAAGATATGAGACAAAAATCAGTCAGGAAGGCAGTGAAAAAAAAAGAAAGTGGTTCAATGGATGGATATTGGAGCAGGCTGGTTTGGTTTGAGCCTTGTTTCCACTTTATTAGCCACGTGGCCATAGGTAAGTCACTAAGCCTTATTTATCAAATGAAGATAATAATAGGGTCACTTTAAAGATGAAGTGTAGATGCATGTACAGAATGAGTGGCACAATTAATAGTAGCTGTTTTGTGTCAACTGTGACCAGGGGCTTTGAAAGTGAAGGCAGCCCTTTGTTGGTTATGTGGGGCTAGCTATCTTTCTGTATGCTAAATCTTACTCTAAATCTGTGTCAGAGCAGTTGGGTGTGTGAGCCTGAGCATGAATGTGGCACTTCTATTGTTAGCCTCTTTTTTGAGGGTAGCGACTGCTTTTAATGTTTCTTTGGTGTCTGCCACACAACGTGATTATAGACCTGGCTCCTGCTGCACATAGGTGCCTGTAAGAACAAGCACACACCTGCAGGAATGAGCACGTGGCTTTGAGGGGAGGCTGGGGTTATGTGAGTGCCCCAGACAGGCAGTAAAATTGTTCTCTTCTGGCAATGGAGGTCACAAGAAGTATGCCCAGACAAGAGTATGCTATTTATAAAATCAAAGTATTGGATATTGTTATACTTTTCAACAACTTTCTCATGATTCCATAAATAAAACCACAACTGTGTGATAAGGAATTTTTTGGTGTTCTACGAATCACTTTTTTTCAGAGTACTTTCAGAGCATCTTATGAGATAGTCTTATGAGATAGTTCAATCTTCTTTTTATGCTTTCCATATTTTATACAATAAATGTGTATTGTCACAATAATCAGACAAAAATAATAATTATTTTAAAAATCTTGTTCTTTTTCCAGAATGTTGAGTATTTAATGAAACCATTCCTTACCCAGAATCATTTCAAATGATGGCTAGGAAGATACACAGTATGTTGATGAAGGGTTAGGAGAGAGTGTTGAGGGAAAAAAAGCAAAGGCTAAAATTGTATGGTTTCTAGGGTTGTAACTGTGAAGAAATCCACAAGAATAGAGGGAAAACAACTTAAAAGAAATATATTATGGTGCTGCCTGTGGCTGTGTTATCAGACATAAAGTTGGACCATGTTATATTTTTCTCTCTCTTTGAAAGCTTTTGATTATATGGCTATTTTACCAGATAAATGTGATAGTGATATTCAGCAGTTCCCTCATTCCCCGTTAGTTTCACATTTCCTGGTTTCATTTACCTACAGTCAATTGTGGTCCAAAAATATTAAATGAGAAGTTCCAGAAGTAAACAATTCATGCATTTTAAATCTTGTCCATTCTGAGTATCATAATAAAATCCCACACTGTCTTACCCTGTAAATCATCTTTTTATCCAGTGTATCCATGGTATATACACTACCTGCCTGTTAGTGACTTAGTAGCTGGCCCAGTTACTAGATTGATTGCCATAGTATCACAGTGCTTGGGTTCAATCACCCTTATTTTATCTAAGAATGATCCCAAAGTACAAGAGTAGTGAATCTGGAAATTCTTATATGTGGCAAAGAGGAAAAATAAGTGCTTACTTTAAGTGAAATGATGAAAGCTCCTGATTTAATAAGGAAAAAAATATATACTGAAGTTGTTAAGATTTATGGTATATTATTATTGTTACTCCCATGCTGTACTTAATTTATAAACTAAGTTTTATCATGGTTATGTGTATACAGTATAGGAAAAAGTATAGTATATGTAGGGTTTGGTATTATCTGACGTTTCAGGCATCCACTGGATCTGTGATAGTGAACCTTTTAGAGCCTTCAATGATACAAACAGCCCATTGTGGCACATGTACCATAGCTTTGCCACCACTGCCCCGGGTGTTCGTTTCCCATGGATAAGGGGGGACTATTCTACCTTCCTATCTTTTAAGGGGGAATGATGGCTCAGTGAGGTGACATAATCTACTCATCCAGGTACCCACTGGCAGAGATAATGTTCAGAGTAGAGCCTGACTGGCCTTTCCTTTCAGCTACCTATAGTCAGAACAGAAGTGAGTCAGCTATGAGAAAAGGCATGGTGTGGTCAGGGTCCAGGGCCTGTAGAAGCTCCTATGCAGTTTGGCCTAATTAGTCCTGGAGGTCTGAAAGGAAAGGATTTGTGATTCCACAGCACCTCTTTGTCAACATTGTCAGGCATAGGTGGAGGAGGGCCCTGCCACTTGGAACAAAAAAAAAAAAAAGAAGGAATGAAGCAAATTCCAATTTGCTTATATAAAGCTTCAAGTATTAATTAGCCTGATTTTCTGCTTTCTTTAAGAGAGCTCTCTCTGGTCCCTGTGGAGGATGTATCAGCTGGCTGCAGGGTGGATGTGGGGAGAGGAGCGAGGAGGCTGTGATGGTAATTAAAAAGAGTCTGAGGGTCTGAGCTGAGTCAGCTCTCTGAGGCTTAGGGACCCAAGTGGAACTGTGTCAAGCTAAAATTCACAGACCTCATGTTTAGCTGGAGAAATGGACCCTGGGGGACTCGTTGGTACTTGGCTTGTCTGCCTGGCTCTAGTGAAGTAGGAGACTGGGGAGATGCAGTGAGTGTGAAGTGCCTTGAAGCTGTGGGTGGGGTGTGCTCTTGCCACACTGAGATGTAATTCATAGGTCTGCAGCTAAGGATGAAAATTTCAGCCAGAAAATGAGAGCTGAAAGTTGGAATTTATAGTCAGCCTTAGGGAGCTCTGTGCTAGCAAATAGTTGCTGGGTCTGTCCTTGGGATATATTGCCTGGGGCAAAGGTAACTTTGGGAACGACAAAATTGCATCCCTGTCACTGGTCACTGTCATCACTTCATTGAGTAATTTCAAATTTCAAAATTGTGATTTCAAACAGCTTGTGACTTCAAATTTGAAGATTGACCTGGAGAGAGCAGTTCACAGCAGTTATATTGTGAGAGAGAAAGGGAAACGAGAGCAGGGTGGGGAGAGATGAACTGAGAAAGACTGGCTGAAGGAATTGCCTGGAATTTTTGTCATTTCTAAAGTCAAGGAGGTCCTTGCAGTCATTGTAAAAGACCAAATACATGCAATATTTTCACCAATATAATTTGAGCAAATAGGAAGCTATAGAGAGGAAATTTCTTCTTTTTATAGCCTGGGAATCGGAGGCTCTTCTAAAGTTGTCTGCTATAGAGGGTGCTGGTGTCATGGAAAGTGCTGTACAATGGGAAGCATGTTGCAGAGTACTGATACTATGATGAGTGCTTGTTTTGTGGATGTGACGGTGCTGTGAAAGGTTCTGGTGCTATGGAAAGTGATGATATGGAAGGGAGTGGTGTTATGGAGATGTTAGTGCTATAGAAAATGGTGGTGATTTGGCAGGTACTGGTGTTATGGAAGATACTTGTACTTTGTAGGATTTTGATGATTTGGTGGTATTCCTACGGAAGGTGCAGGTGCTATGCAGGATTCTAGTGTTGTGAAAAGTACTCTTACTGTGGAAGGTGCTGGTGCTATGGAGATTCTGATGCTATGTAAAGTGCTGGTGATATGGAGGGTGCCAGTGCCATGGGGGTATCTAGTGCAACAGTGGGTACTGGTGCCATGAAAAATTTTGGTGCTATGAAGGATGTTAGTGCTGGGGAGGATGTTGGTGCTATATGGAGGGTACTGATGCTATGTAAGGTGGTTGTGCATCAGAAGGTGCTGGTGTTATGGGTACTAGTGTTATGGAAAGTACTGGTTCTGTGGAAGTTACTGGTCCTGCAGAGAATGGTGTTATAGGGAATGTTGGTAGTATGGAAAATGCAAGTGCTATGCAAAATTCTTGTGCTATGAGAGATGCTGTAGAAGATGCTGATGGTATCAAGGATGCTATGGTATGAATGGTGCATGTGCTAGGGGGGATCCTGCTGCTATGGAGGATGTCCAATTGTTCCAGGGCTGATTCGTCAGTGGGAATTCATGTTGTATTTGGAAGCTTTTGTGCTAAGGGGATGAAAGACATTTGAGGAAACAGTGGACTTGGAGGCTGGGCTCACCTGGGAATCTTAGTTCATGACTTCATC